TCCTGTGGTGTAAATCTGTTTGTGTTCCTGTCCAAAAAAGGAACACAAAAACAAGTGGAAAAAAAAAAACGGAAAAACAAAAAAACAAAAACGAAGGGTTCCACTGAAATGCAGTTTTTGAGTCAGGATTAGCGATGTGATAAAAGCCCAGCTTGTCGTGCAGTAATAGTGCGATGGAACGCGACAGAGAGCAGGGTCGAGCTGGGTCGGGCCGTGGAGTCTCAGTGGCTGAGGTTGCTTGTTTGACGTCTCCCACTCCCCACCTCAGCTCACCCAGCTCTCCTCGGGCGAGAGAGTAAGCCTGTTAGCGAGAGAGTGTGTGTTGTTATCTCGTAGGCCTGAAGCCGAGTCGATACAACTGCAGCGCCCTCCCTTACACCTCACGTTCCATCCAGGCGACACAGATATCCAGTCAAACGCCGTCAAACTTTTAGCACCTGCTCGTTTGCTCTTGTCCCTTATGTCAATTCCTCGGGGGGTTTTTTTCAAGGATGGGGCCGGGAGAAGTGGGTCATCAAAGGTTGAAGCCCCGGCAGTGGATGAGGGTGAGAGCTGGGCCAGTGGGCGACAGAGCACTCTGGGCCTTGTGGGTTTTGATGCTCTGTCTGTGATGAGACACAGAGTGAAAGTAAAAGGGTGGATGTGTCAAAATCAGTTCAATGGTTTGCCAGCGCGATTGAAAGGAAAAAGAAACTGTGGTTAACTCTGTGCTGTGGGTGGGCTTCGGTTCTTGACGTCTCCACTTTTTCCTAAAATGTTATCAGTAGCACTTTAGTTTCTGTCTTAATGTCTTAGATTCTGAGACTTCTGAGAGATTTAACAAACGATTGCAGGATCAAGAACTAAAAAGAAAATAAAGACTAATATTTCAATCGTAGCTTTTATACAACTACACAATGTCTTGTATCAAGATACAATAGACTTTTTAATAGCTCACAGAGAACATGGTCCCTACAGTAAAACAGTCATTTGAAGGATTTGAAGGAATTCTAGAGATGAAAAAAAAATCCACTTTTAAAACTTGTGAAAAAGCGTCTCCAGAAGACCAAACCTGATGTCACTCACTGGCAGGAAAGAGACAGAAATCAAATCAAAGACAGCACCTGTGTACCTGCTGCCGTCCCCACAGGCCCTGGGTGTCACAATAATCCCAACATCATGTTCTGCATCAGGGAATCAAACACAGTGAGTGCAGCTTCAATCCTGTTTCCCTGAATGACTCCACTCCACCCTGTTTTGTCGAGACTTGTCTTAACGCGGTGGATTATCGCTGCCCTCAGACTTCCATACATCATCATCATATGCCCCCCTCCCCCCGTATCCCCTTGATACGTTTCTGCAGTAATCCATAGGTCAGACCGTAAGGAAGGCACATACAGATGTGTGCATGCAGCGACACGCCGTCATCCTGGCAGGCTGGCTTTATGCATCCTGGCTTATTTTAAATGCATTTCCAGGAATACAAATGTGATGCCTATAGACGTCCAATTCCCATCGGTCTCACTCAGGGACTGGCTTCAGACGGGGGAGATCATTTCATGATAATTTGCTCTGCTGGATATGACATCGGAATAGACTCGGTTACATCAAACGTGAATATACTTTACATATTCTAATACTTTAGGAGTAGGAGGGAAGGAGAAAAAAAATAAAAAACAAGGTGATGTTTTTGGGTTGGTGTTTTTTTTTTTTCCCTGACAGCAGGGTAAAGTGTGTGTGGTTTAAATCATGCAGTAAATGGTGTAGACAAGGAAAAAAGGAGTGGGGGAGGTGAGGGGGGGGGCAGGTTATAATTGATGGGAACAATATGCACTTTCACGGAAATTCATGAAAGCTGTCACCTTCACATCTTTGAAGACAGCAGCGTGTCGGTAACAGGAGCTCTCCTTCGCCGGCTTTGATTAAATGTTTGCAATTTCAACACGCTGGGAAATATACTGGAGGACATCTTTGATAAACCTGTGAAATAAATTCTTCCCAATAAAAGTGTTGCTGCGGACGGTGATTTGCAGAACTGGCGTGGTGCAGATTGGGCTCATTCCCGCCCCCCCCAGGACCCCTCCCTCCAGGGGTCTCAGTAGCCGGGATCTCTAATGAGACCCGCGTTATTAATCCTTGCGACTGGGTACATGAATTCACTCCGGAGCAAAGGCTCGGGCAGCCACCTTGAGCCATAAAACCTGGAATGTCTTCCTTTCATGTGCGCTGCCGATGATCGACTCTGACAACAATATGGCCGAGACTTCCCTCTCCCCTGTTGAGCCGGGCCTGGCCCGGGGCCACTGAGGGTCATCTCATACGCACTTGGACTTTTATAGGTGGTCAAGAACCACGCTGACAGGTCAGGAGTGGGAGCTCCGTTATGAATCAGACCTAAGCATCCACCTCATTTGGAATAAATTTTATTTATGGGTGGCCTGTAAATCACATTTATATGGTTCTAGAATGGTCCCAGAGTCCTGGGGTCGGGTTGGAAAAAAACAAAAAACCCCAAAACACTTCAAACTGTGGCCTTTAAAACAATCATGTTATTTTTCTCTCAACAGGCTCATAATCAAACCCATAAAGATTGGCTGTGAGGGATTTGGGTGAGAGGATTCAGGAAGTAACAGTACAGTAACAGTAGAGAGAATATGATATGATATGAACTAGTCAAAAATGTGGCCAGAATAGCTAAAAGAGAGCCAACATAACGTGCAATGAAAACTGCAAAAAAATAGAGGACAGATAGAGATAAAAATAACCATAAAAAACAGTGAAAAGTACAGTTTAAATACAGCTAAATATTTGTAAATACAATTCAGAATTAAATACAGCTAAATATTTGTAAATACAGAACTATCAACGATTCTGCAAAGTACCCATAGAATTTCTAAAACAAATGCAAAACATCCTCATTCAAGAAAGACGTCAGGACAAATGAATCCCACTCTTAGTGCCACAAATGACCCCCGAGCCATACGTTGGATTTGCTTAATGTCCGAGGTCGCTAAAAAGGAGAATCTAATTTGCAGGATTGCACTGAACGGGGAGTGTTAGAGGTGAGTCATGATATGATGTGACTAATACAAATGCAGGTTGATGTGAACTATAGATTTATGCATCAAAGATACTGTACGGGTGAGAGCCTGTCAAAACACTGAGTCAAGAGAGCGGCACCTCTGCTACGTGTTAGTCTGCAGGAGAGAGTGGCTACGAGAGAGGGGGAGGAGACAGAAACACATGCAGGTTTCTGCTTGGAAAAATGTTCAAATCTATAGATCAGCAGCACTGAGGTGTAGAAAACTCACTTCTCATATCCAACTTTGGGCAATTTCACAACACGGAAGCATTATTTTACCGTTTCCCCAAAGGGATTCTACATTGTTGGAAAAAAAAAAAGATTGGTTAAAATCCAGATATGGTGAAGCTGCAGAGAAGTGAGACTCTGTGTCAAGAGACAGGTCACTGATAAATAATGGAGCCGACTGGAAACCAAAGGGGAGATGCTTGATCTCAGTTGTCGTCTGCCTGGGTTTCCTCCCTGACTGCCGCGGCGGCAGCAACCTGGGGAGGGTCAGGGGTTTGATTGACAGACTGTGGTACTGTACGGCGTGTAGCCGCGGTCCCCTGATGGACCCAATTGCCAGCTTTACTGTCCCATTTATGACAGCAGCCAATCAGCCTCCAGCAGAGATTTTCCCTCAGCTTTTCACAGATCTGTATCCCCATTTTCCCCAAATTCATCTCACCCCTATTACTCCCACATCTGCAACCTGCTGCCCCCTCACCACCCCCTGTTCCCCCACAGCCCCCCCACCAAACCCACACTCCTCAGAGAATCCACTGCACTTTTAGATGATGCAAAGTGTGATACAAGTTTTTTTTTTTTTAAGTGAGAGGTGACGGACTGCACAGCATGTAATCCCTTCTTTTTACTGTGAAACTGCACTTCATTTATATATGAATCTAAAATGCGTGATGTACCCCTTATTATTCGCTAGAGGGCGCTAAACACGGGTCACTGGATGGAAATTCATTACCCAGGACTGCGTGGGGACACGGTTTAGTATAAAAGACGTTAGTGAGCAACACCACTTTACTATGACTCCTCTCTGCTGAGAGAGTGTGTGTGTGTGTGTGTGTGTGTGTTATTATATCAGTGACCTTGTCAGTTTTATTTAACCCTCTCCCAAACGTTTGTACTGCAGGTAAAAAACAAACTTTATTTCTTTTTTATATCTTACTATAGAATGAAGCAGTTAATAATAATAATAATAAAAACTAAATATTGTCATTTTATATTTTTTTCCAAGTATTAAAAAATACATTTTGTTTTCCAAATATTTGTTTTTACTTTAGATTATTATTTTATTTTATGTTTTTATATACAAACATAATTTTTTCAGTTTCAAAAACATATTTTGATTGGACTGTAATCATTAGTCAGAAACCAAGCTGTTCTTTACAGTAGAAACTATTGTACAGCAGCAGTTTAATTAAAAAAACTTCAACGGGAATTATAATTTTTTTATTATTATCATTGTTATTTTTAGTAGTAGTAGTAATAATAAATAAATGTATTTTTTTTAATTATAAAAAAAAGGAAATCAACCTGTCAGATGTTTAAATATTTACTTGTTTTTTTTATTCTAATTTTGCATTTGTTACAAACATCCTATTATTTCACGTTTCATTTATGTTGTGTTCAAGAGCAACAGAGGGAATTATTATTATTATTTTCCAGGAGATAAATTATCTGATTTTAAATCTTCATTTCATTTGTGTATTTAATTATTTATTAAATCGTGATCCATCGATTTATCCAGGATTAAAAGTCAACCATAAAACCAGCAGACAGTGACGATTATTTGTGGCTCATGATTGTTTTGTTTTGTGGTTTTTTTTTTTGTTTTTTTTTTTTTATTGCACTGACCTGAACCTGGAAGTTGAAGCGAGGCCCGGTTCAAATCACAGGTAAATAAGCTCCACGTGTTGTGGTTTTTTTTTCCTTCTCCCATGTCGGAGTGTTTGCAGGTGTCTGCAGTGGAGTGTGTGAGCACAGCTTACGCGACCATATCAGTGCGTCTGTGTGTGTGTGTGAGAGAGAGTGTGTGTGTGTGTGTGTGTGTTTTTCTTGGTGTTGTTGGAGCCGAAGATGAAGGGAACGTGTTCGTAATGGAATTCAGAAAACTGCGGATTATTTCTTTAACCGGTTTAGTGTTTATGATTTTACAGTTGAGTGTTTTTAGAAAATTAGTTTCTGTTGTTGTGTTGACGGGTTCCACTTTTTTTTTTCTTTTTTTTAAGGTAAAGTTTGCTGCGTTTTTATGACCATTTTGATGTGTTTGACACCGGAGGATGTCAAGATTTGGCTCGATTTAAAAAAAATAAAAAAATAATTAAAATAAAAATAGAAGGTCAACATTAGGCTCAGATGTTTGTTGTAGTGATGGTTTGAAACTGAATTAAACTCAGTGTAGACAGACCAGCATCCAGCACGGCTCCCCCCAGAAGCCCCTCCCCTAATGTTCTGTGTGTGTGTGTGTGTGTGTCTGCATCTTATAAGAGCTCGTGAACGTCTCAGGTCCAGCCCATAATCTGATCTGAAATCTGTAGATTAGGAGAAGGTTTCACCTCCTTCCATCCGTGGTTTCTGGAAGGAGGCGTGCGCCATCCGTGTGCGCACAGACAGACAGACAACAGACAGACAGACAGAGACAACAGACAGCGCCGCTGCTTTTGGTCGGTTCTCCTCCGGGTTCTGGAACATTTCAAGTCGCTTTTTTTTAAAACTTAATTTTAATTTTGGCGAAGTCCAATAGTCATGCAGTTAGAGAACATCCTCCCCAGCGCGACCACCAATCTGCCCAAGACCTTCTATAACCTCTCCTCCTCGGACAGCGTCACCAACAGCCCCAGGCCGTCGTCGCAGCTCGACTACCAAGACGTGGACCGGACGGAATCAGAGTCCAGTAGCGCCCCAAAGAAATACCTGAGCGCGGTGGGGAACGGGATGCTCGGGGAGGCGGGGGACACTTTCACCAAATCGGTGTCCGATGGGAGGAAAGACTCCCCGGTGCTGGGTGAGGACGAGCTGACGAGCGGGCGGCGGTACAACATAGACGAACTGGGCTCTGACAGATACTTCCTGTCGTCGTCCCAGACCGGTACCGACATGGCCAGTCCCTGTTCCCTCTTCCCCTATGCAGGACAGACGGGCTCGGTGTACACGGGCTCCAGCAGCTCCAGGTACCCGGCTTCTCTCCACTACGGATCCGTCCTGCCGCCCGCGGGCTTCTCCTCTTCGTCGGTGTGCGCCGGCCGCAGCCAGTTCGGGAGCGGCGGTTACCAGTTCAGCCAGGGCCCCGGCTGTTTGTACCCTTCTTACCCGGGGACGGGCACCGGCATCGGCTCCATGTCTCTGCCGGGATCCGCAGCCGGAGTCCGGGCGCAGGTGTATCTGTGCAACCGGCCTCTGTGGCTGAAGTTCCACCGGCATCAGACCGAGATGATCATCACCAAACAGGGCAGGTAAGGCATGAGCACCGGAGAGACGAAAGGCCTCGAATACAAATGATTTAAAATAAAACAAAAAAAGCCTTTTTTAAAAAACAATATTTAAAAAATGCAAATGTAGCCATCTCTGTTTAATACATCGAAAACGAAGTCCCGGTTATTTTAGGATTTTTACGCACGAGATAAATAATCAATCAATCGAACTTTTGCACAGACTTCCGGCCTTTAAATTATAATTTTCGTTTCGTGTTAATTCTGGGTGTGAAACCAACGCACCGGAAATAAACCATATTTACTGGTTAAACTATTGACAAACTTTAAAAATGTGTATTTCGAATTTTCTCTCGGGTTTGATAGAAATATATTCATCATTTCAACAATTTTGTTTTTTGTTTTTTGTTTTCATTTTCTGCAGACGGATGTTTCCATTCCTGAGCTTCAACATCACTGGACTCAACCTCACGTCTCATTACAACGTCTTCGTTGAAGTCGTCCTGGCTGATCCGAACCACTGGCGTTTTCAGGGCGGAAAGTGGGTCACCTGTGGCAAGGCAGACAATAATATGCAAGGTGAGAAAAAAAAAAAACACAATACTTTAGTTAAATAAATAAATGAGTTAAATTAAAATAAATTAATGTATTTTCTTGTGTTTATTTAGATTTGTAATTATTTCAAACTATATCACAGCAGTGATGTTGAAGACAATTTAAAAAATAAAATAAAGTTTTTGAGTTTTTAATTCAATTTTTTTTAATTCAAGAAAATGATGAACAAAAATGTGTTTTTGTGCCGTTGTTTCCTAAATACAAGACAAGAGTTCCTGCTACAAATAATACATTTAAATGTTCTTATTTGTTGAAATTGTTACAAAAATATTTGAATTTCTTTTTATATTTTAAGAACAAACGTTTTTCTTAAAAATAACATTTTACCTAGTATTGAATAAATAAATGCATTCATGTTATTGTTTATATATTTAGGAAATGCTATTTAATTTTTCATGCATTCATGTTATTGTTTCTAAATTTAGGAAATGCAATTTAATTTTTTAAATTAATATTAATCTTCTCATTCTCATGCATTTATTTATTTTTCAACCGTCCTCTCCTATTAAGGTTGTTTTTTCTTTTTTTAAATTTCTTTTTTTTTTTAATTAATCAAAAACATCATTTGAATTTTAGGTAACAAGATGTATGTTCATCCTGAATCTCCAAACACCGGTGCTCACTGGATGAGGCAAGAAATCTCCTTCGGCAAATTAAAGCTGACCAACAATAAAGGAGCGAACAACAACAACACACAGGTTAGACACACAGTCGTTCAGGTTTTTGTTCAACAACAACACACAGGTTAGACACACAGAGTCGTTTAGGTTTTTTTGTTACATTTCAACATATTTTAAACAAATGTGTAAATATGTGTTGTTTTTGTAAAATATCTGGACATTTTCTTCCTCTTTTGCAGATGATTGTTTTGCAGTCTCTTCACAAATACCAACCACGGCTTCACATCGTGGAGGTGACGGAGGACGGTGTGGAAGACATGAGCAACGAGGCCAGGACTCAAACCTTCACTTTCCCTGAGAACCAGTTCATAGCAGTCACTGCCTACCAGAACACAGACGTAAGAAACCACCAAAGAGTAGATTATTGGATATAAATGTTGTGAATTTATTCAAGCAGAATTTTAATTATTTTTTTTCCCTGTTGGTTTCAGATCACACAGCTGAAGATAGATCACAACCCTTTTGCAAAAGGCTTCCGGGACAACTATGACTCGTACGTATCTCACACACCGACCAATGTGGTCAATCTTTTCCCACCTGCCTCTGGTGTTGCAACGTGAGTCTTTTGCATAAATAATTCTTGCATGCATGTTGTTTGTCTCTGTTGCACAGGATGTACACAGCCCCAGAGAGTGACAGGTTGACTCCGTCCCCTACAGATTCTCCTCGCTCCACCCAGATTGTGCCTGGGGCCCGCTACGCCATGCAGCCTTTCTTCCAGGACCAGTTTGTCAACAACCTGCCTCAGAACCGTTTCTACACCAGTGAACGGGCCGTTCCGCAAACCAACAGCCTCCTGTCGCCACAGAGCGAGGACGCCAGCGCCGCGGCCTCCGCCCAGCGTTGGTTCGTGCCTCCTGTGCAGCAGCCCGGCTCCAACAAGCTGGATCTGTCCTACGAAAATGACTATTCCACCAGTAGCCTACTGTCCTACGGCATCAAACCCCTGTCCCTGCAGACGTCCCACGCCCTCAGTTACTACCCGGACTCGGCCTTCGCCTCCATGGCGGCCGGCTGGGGCACCAGAAGCACTTACCAGCGCAAGGTGACCACAGGACTGCCCTGGTCCCCCCGTCCCAGCCCTCCGGCCTTCGCAGAGGACCAGCTCGGAGCCATGAAAGACAAGCTGCCGGAGGAGAGCGCGCCGCCGGCCTCGACCTGGATCGAGACGTCGCAGTCTCTTAAATCAGTGGACTCTAGCGACTCGGGCGTGTACTCCATGGTCTGCAAGAGGCGCAGGATGTCTCCTGGAGGCTCCAGCACAGAGAACTCCCCCACCATCAAGTGTGAGGACTTGGCCTCGGAGGAGTACAAGGACAACCCAAAAGGCATGGGTTATTATGCATTCTACACCAGCCCCTAAGACTTTATTTATTCAAACCATATATATGAGAATTCTTTTATTGAGTGCTCTCCATCCTTTGTTAATGTCTTTTTTCTCTTTTCTCTAAAGGTGCCAAAGCTTAGTGTTCCCCCAAGCAAGCTGCACAAGGTTATTTTCCCAGGCCAGCCCCTCTCACTCTCACATACCTGAACATGCATAGTGATTGTTGGTTTTTTTTTTTTTTGGTGGGGGGGGTGGCTGAAATAAAAAGACATGTCCCTTTTTTTATATATATTGATTTAATTTTTACTCTTTTATTTTATGGCTCCCACAAATGTGATTTTTATTATTATAATATTTTTCTGAATTTTTTCGCTGCGTATTTAAGTCATTTTCGTTGTACAGTATTCGTGCACTTTAGAATGTGATGTATCTTGTACAAATTGTCTTCATGGAGGTGGTTATTAAATGGATAATAAAATGGCTTTTCATGAAAAACAAAAGGGTTTATGTTTTTGTTTTGTTTTTACATTTAACATTTTCCATATGGTTGAAGTAAAAAAAAAATCAAATTTGTGAAAAAACAACAAACTTTTGTCCTAATTCTCCATATTTTACGAGCGAGCCGACCCCAGCCTGATTGACTGATTGACTCCGGGTTATTAATTAGTTGCAGCCGCAGTTGAACTTACAGTTGGATTGAGAGTAAATTGTGCGTAGCTGCTGCGGCAGTAAACGTGCCCGGGCTCAGAGACCTGTACACCTACTGTATTTTATAGCTCATTTCTGAGGCCTGGAATTCGGGGGCCTCTGGAGCCGAGGCCCCTAAGTGGTTACTGCTGTCAGGTTGACACTGTGTGAGAATTATGGGATGTTACAGCATGTAAATTACACACTCATTAAGTCAGAGCTGGTTCACCTTTATTTATAGCTAAACAGGATGAAAAGTAATCAGTATTTCTCCCTGAACCATCGCCGTCCAACATCGGTTCTGTTTCTGTCAGAGTTTTAATAAAGAGAAAAACCTCATTTAGTACAAATACAAATTAGACATTTAAAGGTAACGGCTGACTTTTCCTCCACGGATCAGTCTGTACTTAACATGTCACGGCAGGTTATAATGTAGAATAAATTAAATAATATTCCACTCATTAGAGCCGTAAGGTCAGCGGTGGCTCTTAAGAATTATTAATGTGGTCGTGGTTGGTGTGTGTGTGTGAGTGAGTGTGTGTCACATTAGGATCAAGCCAGAAAAATATTAATATATATTTTTTAAATATACAGTAAACTATATTAATTTAAGTCATATTCTGCTGGTGGCATTTAAAATATTTTATTTTTATTAAACTAGGATTGTATCGCTACAGTCATGTGATCCACTATTTTGCCTATTTTTTTTTTTCTTTTTGTATCAGCTCTTGAATCCTCTCCATCCAGTAAAAAAGGTGTTCCATCACCGGTCGCTCCTCATCAGCCTTCTTTGTGTCATCTACACATGCTGAAGCTGTCAGTGCTGAGGCAGGTTCTTCATGGACTTCGTCCAGTTTCTTTTAAAAAAAAGCCTTTGAGAAAACTGTTACTTGTCTCTCTCTCTCCCTCTCTCTCTCTCTCCCTCTCTCTCTCTCTCTCTATCAACCTTTCAGTTGTTCTAATACTGCGTCTTTATTCTCTGCTTCCACCCGGATTAAACCATAAATAAAATATAAAGTTGCCTCAGACTTTTGGTTGTGGAACTCCTCCACAGACTAAGAATTCATTTAAAAAATTTTTTAAATATTTTTTCAACTAGTGAACCATTCTTTTAAAAAAAAGCCTTTGAGAAAAAGTGTTAGGTTTAATAGTCTTTTAAAAGTCTCTAATTGGGAAAAAAACAACTTTATTTTCTGGTTGTTTGTTCTTCATCAGACTGATGACCAGACCAGGCTGGACCCTGACCCCCCACCCATGACCCCTGGGCTCAGCTGTGGTGACCTTAACAGGATAAAGGTTCTGTCGTTTCGTGAAAACAGCGTTGGGACACCTCTGAATTAGACCTGGACACAGTGGATCTTTACTCCCCTCCTTCCCCCTCCTCCCCCACTCTCATCCTCAGATTCCGTGACATTTGTGGCCTTAAAAAGCTGAGCAATCCCTCTCACTCCACACACACACACACACACACACACACACACACGTGTGACAGAGTAGCACCGGTTCCACCGAGTTAAGTGTGATTGAACCATGAGCTCCTCGTGCCGTTCATGACACGGCTCAGTTAGGTGAAGGAGCGCACGGAAGAAACGCACTTCTACACTTCCGTCGGCTGTTGCCATGGCGTTATCACACGTTTTATAATTCACCTTAGTAATGTGATCACGGTCGTACCCAGAGAAATATATCAAAGCAGGGTAAACGGAGATAAATAAAAAAATAAATAAACTCCTCCTCCAACTGAGGCTACCTTTGGTGTCGACACGTCTATTTATACGGCGGCTGCGTGGCCTCTCCAAAAGTGGATTAGTGAAGGATAAAATCCAGAAAAGGAAGAGAAGTCATGAGATTCACACAGAGACGTCTTGGCTCGTGTTCTCAGCACCTGTTTTTCCTCAGTGAAAATACTTCAGATCCCTCCTCCCCCCTTCCTCCCCCGTTAGGGCCCCCAATTTGAATTGATTTACATACTGGAATTCTAATTAATTCTGTTGTCAGACTCCTTGACAAAGTGAGGAGTCTGACTAACTCCAATTAACACCTCCTAACAAGGTAGAGCGCTTGATTGGCCTGGCCTCTCAGGAAAGCTGTAAAGAAAAAAAGGCTCTCTGGGGGTTTGGAGTCTGGAGAATGGAAATGTTTGCACTTCTGTATGTCAGCAAATTGTATTTCGGGGCAAACGATGTTGTTTTTATCCACGTGTTGTTTTCTCTGAGCCCTGCTCGTCTTTTCGTTGGTAAGTGAGAACCGGACTTTTGACAGCACTCATTAGGAAACAGGAGTCACAGAGAAATGATGCAAACGTGCAGTCGCTCTACTGCGAGGAGTACATTTTCAAATGATAAATTGGGGAGGGGGGGGTGCTGCATTTACAGCAAGAAGAGCGCTGGTTTGCTGGTTCAATTCCTGATCTTGGAGTTTGTTTCTAGTTCCTTCCCAAAGTCCCCAAAAATCTGAGGATGTGAACATTATTCTGGTTTTTTAAAGGTGGTCTTGACCCCCTCCCCCAGCTGCTGATCCTGAGTGTGGGTCTGCAGTCTGGACAGTTCCCTCCTCCAGTCCACTGCAGGGTCACATTCAGACCTGTGGTCGGTTCACAGTGAACAGTTCATCTGATTCTGCCTGTGTTCAGAGTAGTTGAAGAAAACCAAAGAGGAGGAAATGAACCAGCAAACGCAACGCTTTTACAGCGAGGCAGTCTTGACCAATCAGGACTGGTGGTCAGGTCATTTTCACTGTAACGCTGGTCCAACAGTCTAGTGGTTAACTTGCTTGCCTTGGAAGTTGAGAGCAGAGAGTCCTGGGTTCAGTTCCCACATGCTCGGTGACTGTTAGCAGCAGATCTGCTGTTAACACCAGAGTTTATGGGTTCAATTTTTTTATTTTCCTGGGTTCAGTTCCCACATGCTCGGTGGCTGTTAGCACCAGAGTTTATGGGTTACATTTTTTTTTTTATTATTTCTTCTTCTGCTTCTGGAAACACTCTGATTTTCCCGATGTTTCCTGGACGATGCTGACGACAGAGACACGCAGCGACAGGTCGATAGATCGTGTCCTTCACAAGCGTTCATGCAAGAAGTACAGCAATCAATAGACACCTCTACAGCGAGCGTCCACAAAGTTCGACCTTGTTCACCTACAGGAGATACGCTCCCTGGGACAAGACTGGTGGCCCTGCACCTGACTGAGGGTTCAAAGCCCGGCCAGAAACCTGAAGAGTGAACGTGAAGAAGTTTGCTGCGTTGATGTGAACTCAGGCTGGAGGAGGTGATACAGAGTCACTGTAGCCCCGACAGGTGACATGGAGCACAGATGTCGGCCCTCGGGCTGATTCTTCACCTTCACTCACACACCATTACTGCTCTCACTGACTGAACTGCTTCTGGAACAGATGTGTGTGTGTCTGTGTGTGTGTGTGTGTGCGTGTGTGTGTGGAGCAGATTCTTTATACAGAGACTGATCACATGAGAATTTTCACATTAGTCGACTCATGGTCTGCGTCACAAAAAGAGAAAAAAAAACAAAACAAAAAAAATGTTATTTAACGAGGCTAAAATTATTCATCTATTTTTTTTTTCTGTAAAAGTAACAAGCAGATCAGTCACTGATTAGCTGACCAATCAGTGCAGCCCAGTGGGACAGAGTGATGGTGGTGTGTGTTCTTTAATTCAGCCTGCATTCATTCATGTACATATTCAGTTGGTGATCACATGACTTATTATTTATTTATTTGTTTGTTTCTTTTTAGCTTTTCAATTTAACCACTGTGTCGATGTGTAGCCCCGTCTACTGAAGGTGGCGCTGCAGAGAATATTTGGAAACAGCTGCAGTTGAATACAGTGAGTCTTGAGCCTCGGAGATGAAAACCTAAGGAATCCTGGTTTATATTTCTTCACAATCATAATATACATTTCCTAAAAACTTGAAATGATTTAGTAAATACAGGACATTTGAACGATGACTCAAGACTTTAGTTAGGGTTAGTAGTTAGTAGTTAGTAGTTAGTAGTTAGTAGTTAGTAGTTAGTAGTTAGTAGTTAGTAGTTGATGGAAATGATGGTGAGTGTTGGTTTGAAATCACAGCCGTGTTGTCGGTGGTCCAGTCAGAGTGTGTACCACTGACCCACTGGTGCATGGATAATAATGAAGACTGGATCCCGTGGCTAAGCTGCACTTAACAGCACATTGATTTCCAACCCCCGTGTTTCCTCTGGGGGGCACCTCAACAGGCTGGGCCCCCGCTTTTCCCTCCTTTTTCGCCGCTCTGACCACCGTTCTTATGAGCGGCCCCTCCCCCTGACCTCACATTACCTCATCAATCTGGTTACACACCAGGCTGGTCACTCACCCCTGAGGTGTCCCCAATGATTCAGACAGGACTGAGGGTGCACCGAGGCTCTCAAGGCCCCTGATTCTGAGAGCGGTGTTTGGGGTAAGGCAGCCAAATGGAACAGATATGTGGTCAAAATCAATGCGTTGGCACTCTGAAGAGGAGCGCTCGGACAGATTTGGGAATTTCACCTTCTTTTCTTTTTCTCCATGATGCTGTAAAAAAAAAAACAACATCCAGTGAATCTTCTGGGAGTCGGTGAATCCCTAACTTGAGCAGCTTCTCCTTTAAATCAATAGTCATGTGATGGTTTATACTGTACATAGTGTGTCCAATCTCTGGCTCCTTGCTGTTTTCACCAAAATAAAACCCACACCTAAACAGTTTTTTTTTTGGTGTCTGCTGCTGTATGCTCAACACCAAGGCGTGAAAAACAGTCATACCTCCACAACAGCGGGCTCAGCAGTTTCTCAGCTGTTTTCTTTTTCTTTTTCTGAAAGAGAAAACTTTCCTTCTCATCATCATCATCATCATCATCATCATCATCACAACACCTCGTAATCTGCATCTTTTTCTGCGACTCCCAGCACAGGTGGATGCCAGTGTGGCGCTGCAGCCTCATCTTCTTCCACTTGTCTAACTTCTGGCTCATCTCCCAGCTGCATTATGTGGATGCATGTTTTCAGGAGTGATACACAGCACACACTTCTTCGTGCGCTAATGGGCTCTCGGCGTCTTTAAGGCTCGGGGTAAAATTAAGAGGTGATAGTTTGATCTCCCACCTCGCACTTCTATTTCTGAGCTGCCGTGTGATTATGCCAGAGGTTGCTGGGTGGGTGAGGAAAGGGCTCTATTTAAAGGACGACACACAGATGAAGACATCGGCAAGAACGGCGCTAGTTGTGCCGCTTGCAGCAGTTTGTTTTCCACTCGAACTGCTTCGTGGATGGTTTTAAATAACCGTGCACTTTGTGCCGTGGGTTCTGCATGAACTGAACTTAATGACAGTTTTAGTTTTTGTCGTTAATTAAGGATAAACTACCATTGGTTTCAAACGTTCCCCTTTTAAGGCAATTTAATAAAATTAATATATATTTTTAAAAACCTCAGTTATGGACCACATTTCACACAAGTTTCAGGCTCAAAAATAATTGTTAAAATTATAACAGTTTTATCTATTTGTTTGTTAAACTGTATTTTCCCCCAATACATAGAAAGTAAAAAATGTTTTTTTTCAATAGAGCAAGAAGAACTGAACTCTGCGGCTCACGTAGCCACAAAAGAGCTATACAACACTACCATCTACTGGTAAAAAGTAGTTACTACATGACTCAGAACAGTTTTGAAGAACAACAGAGACGTTTTCAAGGATGGTGCACAATATTGAGTAAAACCTCAGTTTGTAGTTGAAACAGAGGCATGTAAGCAACTTTATTTGATCTAAATTAGATAATCACAAAACTCCAGTTTGCAGCAGAATTCGTCAATATGATGCAAACTAACGATCTCCTTGCTTTATTGGCAAACGTTGCCCCCGTGTGGCCCCACAAACGTTGCAAAAATGCACATTTACACTATCATCTCTCAGTAAGTTGTCAGACCTCTGCAGTTCTCCTCTTCACCTGAAAGACTGTGCCCACCACCACACCACTGTATGGCCCCCACCACTACATGTTTTCACAATGTTTATAATTTGTTCCTTCATCTAAGATACAGGAGGTTATTAAGGGGTTGATAATCTGAATAACAACTGTTGCTCTTTTCCATTCCCATTTTTTCCAAGTAAGACAAAAGTCACTGTTTCTGCATGAACTCAATTGTGTTCGAATCCTGCTCAGTGATCAGCAAAGCATGACTGATAAGCTGCTTTTCTTCTCACTGGTACAGTACTGTTTGGCCTAAGGTACAGTGTGGAAGGATAAACACTATATTTCAACAGAACCCAGTAGCTGCTGAGGCCACATTAACAGTGTAACAGACTGGATGCTGAGTGATGTCAAGTACACAGTACTGGACAAAGACACGGTACAAGATATCTAACAAGTATTCACCGAATAATAATACCCTCCTTTGGAGGATACGTGATTTTTGTGATGTCACAAGTTCCTTTTATCGTTTCTCTATTATTTTTCTTTGATCTTCGTCTTATCTATCTCTACACAAAAATAGAAGCTAAGCAATAAAAAAAAGGCAGTAAAAACAGCCAGTTTTTGATGTCATTAGAAAACCAGAGAGAAAACCGAACACACGGAGGAAATTAAAAGATTCTAGACCCGTACTGAAAAGATGAAATTCACTCTCTTTTTCAGAGCAGATCAAAAGGCCAAGATGGGCCAGACGGCTTTGTTCCCTGATGATAAGGAGAGACAAACGCTTCTGTTCCTCACCACCGCAGTCTGCCATGTCCTTCAAAAGGCTGACGCCCTAAAGGGTCTCCTGGACCACGAGAAGAGTTTCCACGTCTCCCGTCTTGTGACTCAGACCATGAAAGGCCTCGTTAGCACCAAGGGTCAAATCCCGAACCTCAAAAAGGCCAAGACATTGGCTAAGGTGGTGGTGAAAGACCTTAGAGGCGAATACGGCGACAAGCTGAAGTACTTCCTGCTTTCACAGGAGCGGGACGTACAGTCCGTCATTGTCTTCTGCCTACGGAGACACACTAAAAAAATGTTTGTGGATCGATGCCTCAAGGAGTCCGACAGTGGCGTACCGTTTGTTTTAACAATAGGTGCCATTTCTGCTGTTGTCCTCTTTGTTATCACTGTGCTGTAAGACCCGCAGCCAATAATTATGTCAAGCCCATCAAACAGATTTCATTAGATCACAGTTTGCTGAATGAGACGCCCAGACTAAGTACAAAAAAAAGGTAAAAAGAAAAAAAAAGTAATTATGCATCAGAGAATGGACAGAAAAGAGATGTTTTATTAGAGTTTTTGTAAAACAACAAGGCTAAAACGTTGGTGCCGGAGATGAACACCACAACCTTCCACATGGATGACTGCATTCAGGAGAGAGGCGTAATCCATTAATTTTACTGTTATATACAGTGTAATATGCAGAAACAAAGAGGGATAGCACCCCTAGAGCCCGAATGAAGGACTTGCAATAAGGAATAAAAACTGCAATAAACACCAGAACCAACCAAACTCCCAAGATACAGACGTGTTCCTGAAGAGCACACGAGAAGAAGGAGGGAGGAGGAAGGAAACCCTGAGTGAAAAACAATAGTTACCAATACTATGGTATTCCAACCTAAAAGGGAATCAACAACAATAGTCTAGGTGTTGACTGACAATTCACACCAACAATGTCACATTTACTACCAAATCAACAACAAAAACTGCTGTAACTAGTAATTCTTCTGTTGGCTGAAGATCAGACCCATGAAGAGCCAAGGAGCTTCTCACACCACTGAGATCCCACGACTGTCATTTGAGACTTTGATGGTGATGAAAGTTCTCCATTAGAGATAAAAACAAGTTTTAAAAAAATAAATAGAAAAATCAAGGCCTGCTCAGGTCTGTTATGACTCGAGGAAGGATGTCACTGAGGTGCCATGACATGTTTGGTGACCTCCACCTGTTACTGTTGTAGCAGAGTGTAAAGGGTTAATAACGTAATTCTTGATCTCACATCAACAGTCCTTACTTTTACAAAATTACCCAATAAAATCTATACTTGGATAAGATGATGTCTCAAGACTGCCTCGTTACTGCAGTTATTGTTTACTGCAGAAAATAGTAATACTGCAAATATTTCAATTGGGATTCTTCAGTGTGTATATTTTGGACCTATTTTCCAGACAGCTGTCATGCAACAAACCTTTAGTTAACCCTATTAACAAAACACCATTGGCATTTGAAGCTCCCGTCCCTATAGCTAACAACAAGTCTAACATCACAGCTCTTATTTCTCTGTAATCGTTTTTTCGTTTTGTTTCTTGGATAATACTGTATATGTGGAGAAGCTCATAAAGATTCTCAGTCGTTCTCACTGCGTCACAGTTGTATTCAGCTCGCTTCATATTACACCAAACCTTCCCCATTAAAAGCCAGGAAATTCATTGTAGCCACCACCACTCAGCCTCTTTTCACACACTGCTGTCACCCATGTTCCCAGCTGGGACCCTTCCCCCCTCTCTCCCACCCACTCCTCACCTCTATTAAAGAGCTCTGTGTACTGCAGCTCCCTGGAACCTGTTTCTGCACATTACTGCATTACTGCTTACTGAAAATAAGAAAGACTGACTTCACGGGGATGTATTAGAACACAATCAGTCTATTAACTAAAAAAATGTGTTATAACAAAATTTAATTTATTTTGCCCCAAAACCTCAATATCAATATCAATAGATCTTAAGAATAATTTTTCGATTTGTTCTTGGCACAGTGATGAAGTTTGCTGCTTCAAACTTTTGATATTTGCAGAAAACAAATTTAATTTATTTTGCCCCAAAACCTCAATATCAATATCAATAGATCTTAAGAATAATTTTTCGATTTGTTCTTGGCACAGTGATGAAGTTTGCTGCTTCAAACTTTTGATATTTGCAGAAAAAACAAGGCTTTTGCCATGGAAAAAAAAACAAGAGGCGGTGTCTCCTTTCAACATTTTCAAACTACTATCATGTTCAGAACCTCTGCTTCAAACTTTTGATATTTGCAGAACCAGGAACCTGGGGTGGTTGGTGGGTGACTGGACAGAAGGTTCTTGGCCCTGACAGGACAACCTGTGACCTTTGGCTTTCAAAGACCTTTCATCAAAGGCTTCAAAGTGTAAAGTACCTTAGCCATCATTAAATGATATTATACAATCATATCTAACAAATGTAGCATCCAGGTGACATGTAAGGGATATGTGTCTTTAGGTACATTTTTTCGGTTGTGTAACTCTTCAAAGCACATGTTGTCCCGCCATGGTAGAAGAGTTTTATTCAAAATCAAACAATAACAGAAAAAGCCTCTTTTGGGACATGGGGAACGACAAAGACATATCCCCCGCCCCCATCCTGCGTTTCCTTACGTCATTGGCCTACAATGCCGAGTACTGGGAGCTCATTGGCTGTTAAGAAGCGCCCGTCATCTTTGAGGCGAGTTCCGTTGCTTCGACAGGGGAAGCACAAGCAGTTCTCGGCTCAGACAAGTGTCACCCGGCCCGGGTTCACACTCCCACATCTACCGGTAAATACGGAGACCAAAGCTGGGGGGAAAGAACCGGTGTGAGGCTGGTGAAATGGAAGAACCCTCGGAACAAATGAGACCACTCTTGAGAAGCGTAAGTCTCTGCCCTGTGCTGTTATCACCGCTACACCTCCATTATGTTTTGAGACTCTTTGTCCGGGTCTTTTGCCCCCTCTTTTGGCCGCAGATGTAGGAGTGATGCTGGGGACTAAGTCCGGGGGCGACCATTGTTCACCGGCTTTTCTACTAATGACACGTGGCGTGGGGATAGGCTTTCACCCCGTTGTTTCCTATAAGTTAATAATAAGCAGAATTGAACTTAATAATATTCAGAACTGTCTTCTCGGTATGTATCGAGTCCGTAAAGACTTAATTGTTTTTGTCTAGGAAGTTGTAAAGTCGTGGCTCTTGACACGTTACTTCCAACAGCTGAAAAACTATGGAAAAAATAGTTGCAACAATTATTATTAATAAACCAAAAACAGATATGGAAACATTTAAAGTATTCTCGTTCGTCACCCCAGTAATAAACTGTAATAACGATGTTATCGCGATAATGTAAACATCTTTCGTGGGTTATCACATTTTGACAGGGGGTAGGTATCCTCTATAAGATCTTTATACAGTATATATATATATATATATATATATATATATATCCTTCACTATATATAT